TTCGGAACCCGAAGGAACACACCAACAACGTTGAATTTACCCGCTATCTTCCAAATATGGTATATTAATTTATTCAGTTGTTTATTTAGAGTGACGTCCGCGGTCGAATGCGATTGGCTATCGATGTCAGTGCAAAGGTCATATGAATATTAAAATTAAGTGGGCGGAAGGAAAATTGTATAGGAGACAAGCTGGAGTCTCGTGTGGCGATAGCGATAACACCGGGACGAATGGTCTGGGGTATCAACTTGCCGACCCAGTATAATTTTTGGGGTTGCATTTTGACTCCAGGTCCTTAAAAAATTTGTATTGTTTGAGGGCACACTGACCCCTACTGCCAAATTTAATTTCATAAAAGAAACAGACTTTAGATTGTCAACAATTCCTAAGTTCTTAATGTATTTCTAAATCCAATGAAATACGCTCCAGTCACCACGTAGTGTTCATTCAAATTTTGTATGTACTGTTTGTACATGCATGAGACCCAGAGTGAGTATGTCACAGCATACATAAATATGCTGCTTTAAAAAGCTGCAAGGTCAAAGAACTGTTGACAGTATAACTTGCATTCTGTAAACTGCTTTGAAATGGCTGCATGCCATTTTACTAAATACAATGTACATGTATTACTTTATCTCAAGATTTCTCCTGATTGCTCATTTGGTACACCTAATCCGAAAAATATTTATAGAGTTCCCTTCATTTCTTTTTTCATTTGCCATTTTGTAAACATTATAATGTTGTGAAAGAATTGTAATTGTAATTATAGTTTTATTGTCATTTTAAACATCTACATACATGTATACCTAATGTACCATTAGATGTCAGAAGTGATACATGTTCAGATAGGTTGAATCAATGAGTTCTCCCTCACCTTCCATGAAATTTTCATTTGCTCTGTCATTAATTCATGATTTATGTGTCTAGCACTGTAGACTTGTGTAGTTAATGTCCGCTGTATAAATACCCAATTTGTATTTTATGTATGTTTGATGTCTTTATCGCAATTTGTGGAGTTGCAAACAAGGAGCAGTGACAGCATCTGGAAATACTTGTGTAAAAACTGACAATTTCTCACAGTATTTTCCAAATCGATGTTTATTTTTAATGGCTTATTTTAGTGGAAAGTATTTTGATGGAGTGAATATTTTCGATCTGTAGTCCAATATCCTAATTTTCTTACCGAAAAAATTACCATCTATGTAATGTTAAAAATCATGATAATTTTAAGGAAATTTCCTTGCCTAGCCATCCATTATGTTAGATTCTGGACTCAGTATGTGACGTAAATTCATTCAGCTCTTGAAATTAACATTAGAGAAATGTGTGCAGTCAATCAATTTCTATTTGAACTCACAGCCAGTCCCATGGACACAAATAAATAATTTTATTTCTTCATACGTGTTGGTCACCCATAGGAATATATTAATTAAAAACAGACATGTATAAAACAAATAATATAATCCAGTTAGGTTACTGAAAATTGAAAATGGTATTTGGACGTACTTGTAGGACAAGAATTGGTAATCTGTGACTAGTGCTTCTGTTAATTTCAAAATCTTATCATTATAATAATCTTAAAATTATTCTGGTTGTCATAGCAAATTCATTTCAAATTTTGAGATGAATATGAGAACTTAATTTCTCGCTGTTAATCTCTAGTAAAACTGGTGCATTAATTATAGGACATGAATCACTGCTGAATAGGATTATTCTGAAAATGTTTTAGCTCTGTGGAGCTACCACAAATTGCTGTCTGGATTATTTCTTCTCGCACTGTGCTGTTATATGTGTGGTTTGTGATGACAATTGCTCTACTTGGAGAGATCCCCCTCTTCGATATGTTGGCATGTTTATGCTTTGACAGATGCCACTATTTTAGTTTCTGATCAACTACTTTCACAATAATGGTTTGTAATAAGTAACAAAAGTTAATTAATTTGAATGGCGTCTCTTATTAAACTGTTGTCTACTGTAATTTATTGAGAGATATTTACATGTGAAGTAACTTAGCCACAAACTCAATTTATCAGTCTCTGATTTGGCAAACAGCATATAAAAGCTTTTTGTTCAACCATAAATCCTGCCATGTATCACTTCTAGCACTCACCAAAAGTAGTACATATTATTATACATCTGTCACCGTAACGCCATAAGTTATAGCGTGCCGTAATTTTGCGGTATTTTACAGGGTATTTTCATCCTACCATATTAGGAAATGCGAATTCCATATATGGAATGATAACGCGCATAGGCGTCCTCTAATAATAAAAACAAACACGGCTGCCACCAGGGTTTGACCGAACTCCATACAAAGAAGTTCGCTGATTCTGTTCTAAACTTTTTACATTTCGGCATTCCCATGATGTATCCTTGGTTGGGAAAGATGTTTAATAATAAGGTTATTACGAAGATCCCTCAAAGTATGCACTCGGACAGTACGCTGTCGCATCGACCTCTGCTGCGCGTCGGTCGATACTGCCGCTGTACTGTCTTCGTGCATACTTTGAGGTATGTAATAACCTTATATTATTTGATGTTTGAAGGTTGGTCCTACAAACACAGAATGAATTACAACAAAGTATGATAGGCTTTACTGACCAAGTTATTGAGGTGGCATGTATATGTATTAACCTTTTCACCACCAATTCTCTCTTTTTCATCTAATTCACAAAATATTCCTGTTTATAGTCTGCACTTTCCTTCAGAAGATTGGGACAAAAATAGCCGAATGTTTTGAGTAAAAACAGAACATTGACGCAAATTAGGTCTGTTGGCTTCAAAAATAGGGTTCATTTCCAGAAATATTTAAAAATATAAGAAAAAAAGTGCAGACCAATTTGGGCGAGAAAGTCTAGTGAAAAGTTTAAAAATAGTATTGTCCACAAAACATAGCTGAAAGACCTTTTAATTTTGAATAACTCTGCCAAAAATTAAGTCGGGTGTTTTCAATATTAGCTGAAAAAAACTAAATTGCAGCCTCTTGTTAAAAATACTTCTCAGATTTAGTCATCCAGAAAATTGTCTTATGACTGGCACCCCTCATATTGAAGAGCGCCCTCTACATGTTACCCTGTCTATTTTATATCATCGCCTTTGTGATATCTAGGTCATTGTCCCTACTCATCTGTTTCTCTGAGGGTTTTTCTACATGACAATACAATGCTTTGTCAACAAAATGAACCTTTCTATAGGTTGACGTTTATAACTACTCAATGTTGTATCACAAGCAATTATATAAATGAAGTCGTCTAGGTGTATATGCCATGCCAGCAAAGGTACGATCACAATCACTTAAATACATACTACTGTACTACTAACATCATTTCGTCTCAATGGTAAAATAAACGTGCATTGTTCTATATGACTGACCTATCGCAATCAGTCACTTCCCATTGGTGGTTTAAATAATACATGTATACTTAAATAATTAGATCAGCATAATTAATCAGTGTTTGCTTTCAATGTAAACAGAATTCTTCTCGGCTGTTTGATGAAGAAATGTATGTACATGCATCGAATGTAGGTCACATTCTTTGTTGCCCTCTTACTTTAGTACTTCTATACAATGTAGACATATAAAGAGGCTCTAATGGCACATTTGTCTGGGCACATCTGTGTCTTGGCTTTTGTTTTCTTTAATGTATCAATGTCCAATTTTTCGTTGTTGGTCTCAAAGTGATTTCATCCCTTTCAGGTGTTTCTTTTAATCCTACAACACAATATATAATTGTGGGAGTTTACAGTAAACTAGTTTTAACTTTAACTCAAATACCTACATGTAGTAATTTATATAATATATCCACCAGTGTTGCTTTGTAGCAATGACGTGTGTAATTTCATGACAGCTATTGTTAGTTAACAATGGGTGCTTCAACCCAGCCCCATCTGACTGAATGTAATAGTGATCCCCACTGTATATGTATATAATGAGTGTTGACTGCTACTTTTACTGTCACAATTGCTAGGTTTACATGGCAGCTTTTTATCAAAGCCGAACTATTGCTCCTCAAACCAATTAACAGGAAATATTTTCTTTTGCTGTTGTACTTTGTAGGAGAAGTTTGGCCAGTTTTGTTTTGTTTCGTACCTGTATTCTCGTTTACATGGTTTGGGCCAGACTGGGACTCAGTTCTATCAGAGTTCAACCCTGGAGGTTTATTGAGATGAATGCTTTTACACGGCTATTTTGTTTGGCTCTGATAAAATACTGTTGTAAAATGAGGTTCATGTCACATGCATACTGATAGCTGTTTGAAAGTGCTGAACTGTGCAGGGGAAAATGATCTCACACTGTGCCAATGAGTTTCATGAACTTTTCACCTCAATCAAGGTTATCTAAGGACAAACAATCACTGCAGTATAGTACATTGATGCATGCATGTCTGGAGGGAAGTGTGCCCTCTAAGCTGATCTGATGTGTCACAGGACTCGCAGAGATTATTCCTGCACACAATTATTCCTGTGTTAAAAACAACTGGCATGTCGTTGACAAGAAAATTATACATTGATGGATTTATCTCGAAAAAACATTTTATTAGTCCCTGTTCAAACATAGTCCTGAAGGTTTTGCACAAAATGATCCAGACAGTATTTCTGGTGAATAGAACATAATGTTGAAACAGCAGGAGTCCAGTGTACGCTGCCTTGATGGTTAATATACAATCAAGAATGGTTGTAGTTATATATGCTCTATTAACCTTGTTGCATCGATTATACAAGATTGAAATCCTGACTACTCAGAATATGCATGAATTGACAACTTTTTTCTGATTGTCTACTCACCAACAATGTTTAGTTAAAATCTCTACAGTTTGGGACAAATCATTGTCTATTGATGTTTAGGCACACATAACCCACTAGTTTGATGCTGTAACCGTCACGTGACAGTAAGCCCTTTCATCTATGACTGGTTCACATCCATCCATCCATCCATACATAAATCAAGGGTATTCCCCATCAGATCTATATGTTAATTTGTTTGTTAATTCTTTCCTCAGATGATGAAGATGAAGCTGCACCAACAGAGCCAGATAAAAATGACATCCAGAATACGCTACGAATGCTGAGCAGTAAACTGGAGGATTTAACAACTTGTAACGATCTTATTGCAAAACACGGTGCTGCCTTACAGAGGTCATTAAGTGAATTAGAACTTATACAGGACCCAGCTGAAGCTAGCACTAAGATAAAAGCTGTCAATGAGAGAGCTACGTTATTTAGAATTACTTCTAATGCAATGATTAATGTGAGTACTTATTTTCTCATTTTTACTTAACAAGCGTTTTATGCGCTTTATACATTTTCTGGTAATTGCTCTGCTGAAATCCTTGTACACATCTCTGTTCCTCTTACTTGTTTAAAGTGCTTGTGCATGTAGTTTACCACCATTAAAACATGATCCGATTTCCTTGAATTTTGCAGTATGGTTTTATTGACTACCTTGTGAATAGCACACATTAGGTGACTTTCGGATTACCTTGCCTGTATTTGTGGATGTGTGTATATAGGTATGTTTGTACATGTATAATTGCAGTTTGTCAGATTTCAATGAAACTTTGGTTGAAATCGGTTCATACTGATTATCTCGTTTGCATAATTAGTGTGCGAGTCTAATGAGCGAGTCTGTAAGTGTACGAGTCTGAGTGAAAATTTTGACTGTTAAATTTTGACATGCGTACCATTTCTAAGATGTGCACATTTTTTGTTTTACAATTTACTTCAAAACGCATGACTGGCAGCCATTTTGTTTTATTGTTCAAATGTCCCTGCCCATTTCTCTTTGATTTGAGAATGGCGAGTACCGGTATTCATATGTATGACATTAAACCTTATTCAAACTATATTATACCCTAAGTTTATGTTGCAAAATTTTAACATTGATCTATGGATCTACATGTATGCAAATACAACAGTTTTCTCTCGTTTGTAGGAAATATTTTTAATACCCATTTGTTCACGATGTCAAAGGTCAAATCTTGTACAACTTGTGAAATATTAGTTGCAAATGAAATAATCAGTTATGTCAGTTTCTGAAACTGCTCCCACTGGGAAAAGTGAAAATTAAAAAGATTGAAAATGTCAAAATGTCAGTGTTTGAATCATCAGACGGATGATGTAATGAACTCATTTGTGACAGCTGAGTAATTGCATTGCCTCCCAACGTCATCTTTTTTTGAAAGATACTGACAACAATTTAATCTTTGTTGCTGGAAATTTAATGATGTAACAGTTTTCATGAGGACAACATTTGCAAATGTTAATGTGACCCCCCCCCCCAGTAAAAAGTACACTGCTGCCAATCTCTGATTGTCACTGAAAATTCATAAAATTTGTCTTCCATAATTAAAGCAGTCTCATTATAAGCAGCACTAAGATCTTAAAAATCCTGTTGAATATTCCTAAGAGACATGCTCTCTGACCTCTGACCTGTGAATCCAGCTGGTATTGTTTCATGCCTTCCGCTGCATTTGTATGTTACATCCTGTGTGTCACATGCTACGACTAAAGCAAAGCCGGAATTGGTTTTCTGTAAAGCTGTTTAAGCTGATTTGGAAAGCAAAATACAATTTGACTTTTCTAAGACGTGAGTATATAGTTAAGCATAGATCTGCAGTCACTGTATTTATTGGAGATTGTTTAAACATTGATTTTACTGGCATCTTTGATTGATTCGTTATTATACATTATTTATGTTTTATGTCTGACAGTGATATTTTATAAATATTACCGGTACTCTTGAAGCAATGCTCTACTTTTTATATCTGGGCTTAATTTTAAAACAAAAATTGGAAAGATTGAGGTTTTTAATAATATTTGCAAACACTGGTACCAGTCAAAGACGAATATAAAATTTAATGTAGTCCTGCGATCAATTTATATATAATTAGGTTGATAAAGAAAGGAAAAATTGTTTTTCATCTGTGCTTGTAGTGGGTGGATATCAGTGTAGTTGTCATGATTGTATATTCTGAGGTGTTTGTTATTCTACTCTGGTCTCTGTAAGACACTGCTGGTATTGTATGTATATCTTATATATAGTCATTGGCATATTATTGAGATTGGGTTTTCCAATCTTGTATTATATTACTATCTGTATATGTACTTATAACTAGCAGGCGGCTTCCCATGATGTGTTACCTGTTGCCTTGTGTGTTGTCATCTGCATATACTGTGAAATGCTTTATTTTCGCTTGGAATTTATTTTCACTATTTTTGCTGAAGGAATGATTCAGTGAAAATAAAATTCAGTTAATATACGTTTTTTCCTATATTTTACATTCAACTAATCAAAAATCAGTGAAAATAAATTCCATACAAAACACCCAAAACGTCTTTTCAGCGAAAATTAATTACAGCTAAAATAAATTATTTTACAGTATTCCATAGGATTTGCCAAACTCTGATCAAAAAGCTGCTTTTTTCATCACTTTTTTTCTTCATATTTTTTAGCTCCGCTGTCGACTTTGTCGAGCGGAGCTTATCATATGAGTGATTGTCCTCCGTCGTCCGTGTCAATGTTTTACTTTTTCGACTTCTTCTTGAAAACTACAAGCCTGAATGCTTTGATACTTGGTGTATATGTACCTTGGGTAGACCTCTCTTAGGTTTGTTCATTTCATGTTGATATCTTCAATTCTCTAATTTTGATGAATATTTTTGTCATTTTTGGTAAAAAGTGATATTTTCAACTTCTTGTTAAAAACCGCAAGTCCAATTGCTTTGATATTACATATATAGGTACTACATGTGGACCTCTCTCAGATTTGTTCATTTTGTAATGATATCTTTAATTCTCTAATTTTGGTGAATATTTTTGTCATTTTTGGTAAAAAGTGATATTTTCGACTTCTTGTTGAAAACCGCAAGTCCAATTGCTTTGATATTACATATATAGGTACTACACGTGGACCTCTCTCAGATTTGTTCATTTCGTGATGATATCTTCAATTCTCTAATTTTGGTGAATATTTTTATAATTTTTGGTAAAAAGTGATATTTTCGACTTCTTGTTGAAAACCGCAAGTCCAAATGCTTTGATATATTATACATATAGGTACTACATGTGGTCCTCTCTCAGATTTGTTCATTTTCTAATGATATCTTCTGTTCTTTAATTGCCATGTGCATTGCTAACAGCGGAGCTATCTCAGCCGACAGGCTGCTTGTTATATCGTTTAATACTGCACCAAAATTACCTTTGTACAAGATAAATTCATGGTAATACACTGTACATGTATAACATGATTTGTGTTATTGGTAATACCGTGCAAATTTTTGGTCGTCTGAAAATTCATTTTGTAGCTATCTAGCAAGAACATTGTAATATTTCTTCTCATGTGTGTTCATGTGGTACCACAAAAACCATATGCAAAAACCACTTGACAATGAAGACTTTAATGAAATAAGTTAATTTACTATTCCTGAAAATTATTGCTCTCACCAGAATACAAAATTTGTTTCTTTTTCAATAATTTAAGGACATGTCACATAATTATTTTGTTTGGAGTGAAGCATTATAAAGATCACTTTAAAAGGTCACCATTTATGTATAAAATACATATTAATTCTAGGAATCGAGTATGGTTTTCAGAATTTTTCTGATAGAAAATAGTTTTATATCTAAATCGGCTCAAGTGAGTGACATTTCGAGATAATTTTTCTCCATAACTCACTTTAATAGTTTAATTGTGTATTGTATTTCAATGGCCATAATCAATGTTGAGGTTTAGTATTGTGTACCTCCTTAATTACTGATTATCCATACACCAATTAGTTGTCAAGAGCTTGTCAGACGAAGTCAAATATATAACAAAATAATTGGGGCTGTATTATGTATATAAATCTACCTAATTATTCTGTTAAATACTGTGCAATTTGAGTAATTGAATCTCGTAATTTTGAAAGATATAAGTGTAGTTCACAATAGAGAACTTGTCGGGCTGTGTGAACAGTTGGGATTGAGTTTGCATGTGCTGAAAAAACAACAACATAATCTTGGCCCCAATAGATTCAGCATGTGTAGAGATCAGCTGTCTGAATGCCTGGCATGAACCAAAATCACACCATCTTTGATGAACTTAAGAGAATGTATATTGATTTCTTGAAGTTTTCTATGATAGCTATGTTGTCCTATGCTAGAAAATTACTACAGTATCTCCAATTCATGGGGTGGAGCTACGTCACAAGACGTTCCACGTTGCTAAGACGTGCACCACTCTACCATGTATTTGTATGGTCTCTGTGCGCGCTGGCGTGTAACACTGGCCGTAGAGCTGGTGAAAATAGCTATATTCGAACTCAACTTTGAAGTAATTCTGAACAACCAAATTTATATATGTTACACTGTTCAGGGGAGTCTCAACAACCATCCCATAGTTTTCACCATGATGGTTGCCAGGTGGTGAAAATGCCTGGATGTCCACTCCTGAGAATGAGTTATCTGTGTACTGCAGAAATTACTGTTGTGGCTTGAATACCAGCTCCCGCTGTGAACAAAATGAATGGAGACTGTAGTTCTATAGTTGGTAACACATATTAATGCTACAATTTATTTCTTCTTGCAATGCTAAAGCAACATGAAAAAATAGCTGTTTTTCGAATTCTTCCTTTGCCCAATGATTAATAATAAATAGCATTACACAAACAGCAACAGATAAATGTGCAGAACATGAATATTGTCTGCCGTGTTTGGGGCAACAGATAGCAAGAATTGGCTCCATGTACCATCCCTCAATGGCATTGTTCTCATATTTAAAAGCCTAAATTAGAAAAAAAAAAACTAGATGGAAAAAATAAAAAAAAAATGAAAAACAGCACAATTCCGTGGCTGGCCGAAATTTTAGAATAAAATTAATTATGAAAATCTGCCAAATAATTAGATGGTTGAATTTTCAGAGGGGTTAAAGTTTTAGCCAAAAGATTGGGACATGATACATAGGATGGGCATGATATTGGACAAATATAGTAGTACATGTAAGTGGTGGCTTTCAAATAGTGGCTACAAACTAATACTTGTACTAACTAACTGTTGGTATATTCATAACGCGAGTTTGTTTTGGTATCACAGAGACTTGATCAATACCATGATGAATTAATAAATCTGACATTATATGCTATTCATGTTGCATTGTTATCATCAATAAACAACTCAATAATTTTTTGTTAGTATTCTACCTCATTATTATTCATAGCCTCAACTATTTTTCTACCATTGTAATGTTTTCTCACAGAATTACTGTCCTATCA